GTCGTTGCTTTTCCGGAAATTCAAGGGCCAGTGTAGACAGCTCGCAGCTTATTCCAGAAAAGCGGCTGATTTTCTGGAATAAGTGGCCCAGTGTAGACAAAGCCTTAGTATCTAGCCTTCAGAAGGCAAACTTGTTGTTTTTGTGTCTTGCTACTAATAGAGATGTCCTTCCTTTTTCTAGGATGGGTTGAAGCAGTGTTTGTCTGAATTCAAGCAGCACCTAGCCTGGGTGGAAAGACTGGATGTGACCGTGGGTCAGGCACCAAATGTCATGAGTTCAGCCTCATATCCTACACCTGACAAAGTCACCGTTGACCCTGAGGATGACTTCCAGAGAGAAATGAGCTTGTGAGAAGAGGCAACAGTTTTCTCTGGGGCCCCAATCATACCACATACACAACCCTACTGCTGCATCACTATTGAACCTTGCTAGGCATTGCACAGCATGACAGTCATGCCATCCGTCCACATGTCAATGTCACATCACTTTCAATCCTCAATGCATATATATGTGTAACAACTCAACAACCAGGTGTCATACTGCTATAAACTCTCAAAATATATTCCAAAATAGATCAAGATGTCTTGAAGTTTGAAATCTCGTTTTGGATTCTGAAATCTTGGGTTTTACCCTTTTTTGGCAGGCCTGGATTATAAAATTATCAATCACGAGAAAATATTTTAAGCATATTAAAAATATTAAGGTGTAGTTTGTGGCGGAAGGAACTCGTTAGTGATGACTGGCAGTAGAAAATCCTAAAATTGATGGACTTTTTTGTAGCTGTGTTAGATATGTAATGAGTAACAGGTTAACTGGTTACCAGGTAATGGTTAATTGGTATCTGAGAGCAACCTGTGGCCTTCCAGGGGCAGAGGGCTGCTCCACCCCACTGGACCCACAGTGTTGCAGGCTGGGGTGGGAGCCAGCAGCCTCACATGGGGCCGGCAGCCCTGGGGACTGCTCCGGCCAGGCTTAAGCAGTCCCCCACCCAGGATCCCACTTAATCGGTTAACTGATTAAACCTAACGTTTAATCATGTAAATAATTAAACGTGACATTGCCTTAAAACTGCTGTTGAGCAGGATACAGATTAGGGATGTAATCTCTGGTTATTTTCTCACAGAATGTAATTTCCTTGAAAGAAATGCAGTGAAATCCCCTAGGCTGGGGTAGGCGAAAGGGCCCACCAAGTGGGTTGATTCAGCCCACAGAAACCCTGCTGCTCCCCCGCCCCCAGGCCAATTAGGGCCTGGGGGCGGGGTAGAGCCCGAAGCTTCCTCCCACCCTGTGAGCAGCACGCAGCGCTTTAAAGTGCCTTGTGCGGCTCACAAGGCAGGAGGAGACGTCACACGCTCCCCCGCCCCCAAGTCCTGATTGGCCTGGGGGGGCAGAGGAGCTGTGTGAAGTTTCTTCCACCCTCCCCCCTGCCCTGGGAGGAGCACATGGCACTTCGCACAGCTCCCCCACCCCCAGGCCAATCAGGACTTGGGGGCAAGGGAGCGTGTGACATCTTCTCTCGCCCTGCAAGCAGCACGTGGGAGGAGGCTTCGCGTGTTCCCCCAGGCCAATCGGTCTGGGGGCGGGGGAGTGTGTGAAGCCTCTTCCAGTCCTCCCAGGGGCATGGGTGCCTAGTGGGAAGGGGGGCAAGTGGGCTTCCCCACCCCCAGACCTACTATGGTCTGGGGGGTGGGGAAGGCCAGAAGCAGTCTGGCCCTGCCCCTTCTGGATTTGGCCCTGCCCCTTCCATGGCAGCCTGGGGCCACTTCAAAAAATGTTGCCCACCCCTGCTAGGCTGTCTTACTTTGAAGGACATGAGAAAATCATGCGCATTGCAATTTTTTTGTACATGGTGGCATTCTGTACATTCTAAATCTACATTCAACATGGCAAAAGAATTGCACATTGTAAACAAATTGCTGCCCTGTTAAAGTCATCTTATAGCTGTCTCCAATAAAACAGCAGCAGCTGAAAAGGTGGTAACTAATTTCCATGCCTAATTAAGTAGATAATTTATTAAAAAATAAATAAAAATGTGTAGTATGCCACTAAGGTTCCAAAATGAAAATGGAATTTCTTGTGGCATCTTGGTGTCATTGCAATTCTGTTTATTTTATGGTTTGAATTTTATAGTTGAAGTTGTCAAATTGTAAACTACCAGCTAACCAGATAAAGAGGAATAGAAAATAGGGATGTTAAATATCAGTTAATTGAATTGTGGAGTAACCTCATGAATTCTTATCAGCTAGTTGACTATTCTATAGTTCCTGGGGTCGGGGCTGCCAGCCAGTGCACTCTGGCCTCACTCCCGAGAAGACCGCTGCCTCGCCATGCTGCTGCCACTGTATCAGACAGCAGCACAAGGTACCAGCTGGGAGCTGGTCCATGAGGGGAGTCAGTTTGAAAACCAGGTCCCCTTGTGGACCAGCTGTCTGTTGCCCTGTGCTGCTGCCTCTAATAAAGAGGCAGCGGTGTGGGGTGGTAGCAACCCCTGTCTAGGGGGTGTTCTGAGCTCCCAAACCCAGCGCGAGCCAGAATTGAGCTGGGCTGCCTGCCCGCCTGGCTCAATATTCTTTAAATGCAGAGCCTTAGTGGAGTTCAGTCCCAGACCCATCGCAAGCCAGGACTGAGCTGGGCTGCTGGCCAGCCTGCTAAAAAAATTACTGGCAAGAGGTGGGGTGAGGGGGGAAATGCATGTAGTCTATAGCATTAACTTATAAGTTTTTGCTTATTGGTTAATCAGTTAATTGACTACACTTTTACATTCCTAATAGAAAATACCACATGAGCATTGTGTCTTGATTAATGTGTTGGTACCTTAATTTCTGGGCTCTTTGCATTTTTAATGTTGCTCTAATATAGTTTTGGGATTTAATATAAATGTTTATTTATCTTGCACCAAATAAGTAATATGAGCAGTTTCTGATATCCCTGCCTATGTGATTTAGACTTTACTGTTAACTTTAACTTGCAGTTCCATTGTTTTCCCAGTTACCGACAGGGCCAGGCAGCAGTGCTAAAGGCCCTACCTTGGCTACATAACCAAAAGGTCCCCACAAGAAGGCCAGATGATTACTTTGCAGAGATGGCCAAATCTGATCAACAGATGCAGAAGGTATTAAACTCGGCACTGGTTGTTTTCCCCTCCTTCAAATTCCCCACTGTGGGTTTTAGACTACATAAAGGATAAACTTTCAGATGCATCATTGTTCAGTCATTGAAGCATGACTAGACCTGAGACATTTGTCAGCACATAGATTAGTTCACTAGTCTGGATTCCTGTCTTCAAGAGTGTCCTGTGACAGGTGCTCTGGAGGAAGGTGCAAAAACCCCCATAAAATGGACATTTTTTGTAAATAGTCTGCCCCCAGGGGAATTGTAAAGTGAAATATAAATGATTCATAGCAGGGAATTGGGAGTAAGGAGTGAATTGAATAAATCAGGTATTTTAATCCGGAGTCTTATGTCATGGAGTGTGCGGGAGTCAGTGGGCCCTGCACCCCCATCTGCAGTCAGATGTGACTCTCAGCCGTCAAGTAGAACAGAAGGTTTTTTCATTGACAGGGACACAGCATAGCACATAGGAACCAGGACCAATCAGTACAATCCATCTTGGGGATGGGAGGGCCCATAGCCCTTCCCAGTCTAACTGTCACTGGTTGCATCTTCCCCCTAGGATCAGGTGACAGGATGACTTGGGCCATTCCTGATGTGCCTTCCCTCTGAAGTTCTCACCGAAAGATCCCATATCCCACTGGGCGCATCCCCCACATAGACAGTCACTACAGAGCAGCATAGGACAGTAGGACTCACACCTGCGTAACAAAGCAGTGAATACAGTCCCCATTACGCCACAATTTAGAACTAGGTTCACAATACAGAATTGATTTGTATACTATTAAAAACACAGGAATTTTCTCCAATGTCTGATGGCCTGACAGAATCTTCCTGAAGCTCTGATCATTATCCCCAGGGAATTATAGCCACTAACATTATCCAAGATTCAAGTCGCTTATAAGGGAACTGCTGGATCTCTTCTATCAATCCAAAAGAATTTGGCAAAAATGATAGCTTTGTTTCACTCTCTTCTGTAAGAACTTGTTCTCTTGAGGTTGCACTTGATCTCTGTATGTCCCATTAATCTTGCCAAATCTGGGTTAAAGAAAACCAGAAGGCCAGGAGTTTCTGTAGTGAGCATTCCCAGGCTTAAGTTATTTGACCATAGTGGAGAGAAAGAGAGTCTAAAAATCACTGCATGCAATAGAGAATGTGGCACTGGGTTTAGGCAGCATCTTTCGTAGGACCTTGGAAATGTAATCAATATAGACTACATTTAGTGCATAGTATAAAGGTTTACAACATGTTTTATATTTATATCTGAGTAATTATCTTACTGATATGGCTTATCCATCTCAGGGTTCACATAGCCACATCTTCTTTTGTATAACAAGCACATTATTTTGTTTCCTAATAAGATTCGACACAAGCTTAAGAGCAAACAGGAGGCAATGGAGAAGTCTGAGAAAGCAAAACAGCTTCGTGCACTGAGAAAATATGGCAAAAAGGTGAGGAGGCAGTGAAACTTATGGAGCAAGAAGGGAAATCCAATGGCAAGACCCTGGAACTCTGGGTGGTGATCCCAGTTATTGTTTGAGAACCTCTTGGACAGCCTTTCTACGCTGTTGTCTGTGGACAGTGCAGGAAAGGGCCTTGAACACTGAGCTGTTTTGCCAGTTTAGCACTTCAGTTTGGAGGTGTGTAAGTGGAAAATATAAAGACAGTGGAGCGTCTTGGGAGGGTTCAGGGCATAGTAGGGAGCAAAACCCATATTGTCTTGTTACAGGTACAGACAGAAATTCTGCAGAAGAGGCAAAAGGAGAAAGCAACTGTTCTGAATGCAATCAAGAAATACCAGAAAGGTGAGGTCATCCATCTCTCCAAAAGAAAGTGTTGCAGGGAGGGGAGGGAGGACAATTGATCATGATAGAGCACTGCAACATGTGAGGTATCACCAGCCAGTATTGGAGAGCAGTGAGTTGGAAAAGGTCATTGCTGAACATAGAGGTACACGGGAGCAGCAGTATAAAGACTTTAATAGGCATTGCCCAGTGGGAGATAAAACTGTCTTGAACTAATGATATGTAACTCTTGCTCACATTGGAATTTCTTCTGCCAGATTCAATGATAGTATTCCCACAAAAGTTCTGCTCTTGCAGGTCTCTCTGACAAGTTGGATTTCCTGGATGGGGAGCAGACACCACCACATCAAGGGAAGAAGAAAGGAGATAGTGGTCAACAAATAAAGAGAGGGTGAGAATGGGAGTTGGAGGCATTGCAACTGGTGCCCATACATCCCCACCTGAGTCTATAACGGGTGGGCAAGAGGCAGCCAGTGGGCCCTATCTAGCCCACCAAGCCACAGGATCTGGCCTGTGACCACCTCACCAGTACTCTCACTATGCAGCAGCTTGTGCTGGGCTGCTAATTGCTCTGCATACTGGGAAGGGACCGGAGAATACATGTGCTGTCCCCATCCCCAGCAAAATCCCTTAGCCTCCATTGGCCAGTTTTCAGCCAATAGGAGCTGAGAAGTTTTGCTGGAGGCAGGGTCAGACCAAAGCCGCCTTCCTCCTTCCTTCTCAGTGCTGGAGCAGAGCCATGTGGAGTAGCCTGCTTAGCAGACTCAGGTTCCTGCTGGGCTGCTGGCTGGGAGCCACCTAGATAAGAGTGTCCCAGCCACAGCCTGCCTCTGGCACCCCTGCACTCCCCCCTTCCAACTCTGCCCCAGATCACCACGAAAACCCTCTGTATCCCCTCCCCCCATCATCTCCAGGTCACAACTCCCTCCCAGACCTCCCCCCCCCAATCTACTCCTCTCCCCCAGTCCAGAATCCTCTTCTGCACGTCCAAACCCGTTGCAGATCATAACCTCCTCCTTCACCCAAACTCCCTCTCAAACCCCCACACCTTGCACCCCTGTCCTCTATCCCAACCTTCCTTGTGCACCCAACCTCCGTCCAAGACCCACACCCCCTCCATAGAAGTATGGCCCATGGCCATTTACCGGAATCTTGGAGTGGCCCCCCCATTAAAAATTATTGCTCAGCTCTGGTCTATAAAGCTGCTTTGCAGGATACTATCAGGTTCTAGCTATCCCCATCAGATAATTCCTAGCTCATAATGGTAATGTTCAATCATGTGCACCTCAGGGTAAAGTTGCTGCTGGTAGCATACCCTTTCAGAGAAGAAAAGATGGTTATAAACCAGGTGGAGCAGAGACTGGAGTGTCTTAGCTATTTTTGCTCTTCTGCTATGAGAGAGGGAGACAAATTGGTCTTTTCAACAGCTGGAAAGAAATCTGATGGGATCTCAAATGATGTAAGGATCACAAAGAAGGAGCTAGAGGGGTGTTTCCCACAGTACACATGTGTTTTCAAGCAAGCTTTCTGAGGGAAAGTACTGGGGAATCCAGCAAAGATGACTCCTTGTTTCTGTTTCAGACCAAGTGCCAAGCGACGTTACAAGAATCAGAAGTTTGGTTTTGGTGGGAAGAAGAAAGGCTCAAAATGGAACACTCGGGAAAGTCACAATGATGTGTCAAGCTTCCGGGCTAACATGGCCCACAACAAGGGTCCTGGAAAAGCAGGGAAAAAAGGTTCCAATGTGAGTGAGAAGTGTGTCCTACGCATTACCAACCCTGTGTGTTAATGGGAAACTGGCCTTGGCCACAGTAGTATGGGCTATATGGGTGTCAGTGAGCGACACATGAGCTCTGTGTATAGGGAGCTATGGACTGCATATTTGGGGACCAAAGCTGACCAGGTAGTGGTAGTGGGCAAGGCTAGGCACATTGGTTTGACATGAATGGGTCTGAATCCTTCTATTAGAAAAACTGAAAGGTGAGCATCATCGCTCTGACATACGTCCCTTCTTTCCCCTTGCTATGAAGCCAGAAGCAGGGGGTTTGAAGCTCAAAACCAGAGATCTGAATTTGTCATTCTTTCTTTACAGAAGAGACCGGGCAAAAAGATGAGGCAGAAAATGAAGAGCCGAACCTGATAAGGACTGAGTGGGTTTTGGTCTAGTTCCTATGTAGCTATGAATTGCAAGTATTCCTCGTGTCACTGGTGTCTTGAGGCAACTCTAACTGCTGTTGAGCAAGCTGCACAATGTCATTTGGTACAGAGGGTTGCCGTGGAAGTGCATGTACTGTCACTGACTCCTTTGTACTGTTAATTTTCTTCCAAGATTTTTTTCTCTCAAGCTTCGGGCCTGGCATATGTGAACTCATTAAATAGCTTGAACAGAGTCATTTAGTTCTTATAACTTCAGTCTTATATTGAGGGAGGAACCTGAAGTCCTCCCCCCCTCCCACCATTGTGATTGGGCCTAGAGGAGCCCTATGACTCTTTCCACTGCTGCCTTTGGTAAAAATGGGGAATTTAGCCTCCCCAGAGCCTGTAGAGCCTTTTGCAGGTTGCTAGTACAGCCACTTGGATGAGAGCAGTAAGAGGTAGAAGCAGAACTTTCACATGGTTTATTTCTGTAACTGCTGTTGGCTACCAGGAGGTATGATCTAGCCAGCAATTCCTCCTCCCTTGCTCAGAAATCTCCAGGACTACTTGTGGCAGCGAGAAGATGGCAACGTTCCTTAGACACTCCAACACCACGTAGTTCTGCCTAGTGAAGCAGTATTGCTACTACCACCCTACTGCATGTTCTCACTCTGCTCCTTCAGACGCCACATGGCAGCCATGTACTTGGTGATCTCAGTGTTCCGGCACGGGAAGTACAGTCTGCGGTCGGTGCGGTCCACACTAACCTGTGGAAGAGAAAATGGTCAAAGCATAAGGAGTGTCTCCAGGAGATGTTCTCTTTGAAATCAAAGATGCAAGGAGTCAGTTGCCACAACTTTCTGCTGCATGGCTAGAGACTATGGGTGTGTCTAGACTGGCAAGATTTTGTGCAAAAGCAAATGCTTTTGCGCAAAAACTTGCCAGCTGTCTACACTGGCCGCTTGAATTTGCGCAAGAGCACTGACTTTGTAATATACAAAATCAGTGCTTGCGCAAATACTTTCATGCTCCCGCTCGGGAAAAAGCCCTCTTGCGCGAGACTACATGCACAAGAGGGCCAGTGTAGACAGGGAAGAACTGTTTTGTGCAAAAAAATCCCCGACGGCTAAAATGGTGATCGGGGCTCTCTCGCGCAAAATCGCGTCTAAACTGGCCACGGATGCTTTTGTGCAAAAGCATCCGTGCCAATCTAGACGCGCTTTTGCGGAAATTCTTTTAACGGAAAACTTTTCCGTTAAAAGTATTTCCGCAAAATCACGCCAGTCTAGACGCAGCCTATATGATTAATAAGATAACTGAATCTCATATTGGATGTTATTGGCTTATCACCACTAAGATAAAAGCAATAGAAAAGATTTACCATACCAGCCTGGGTTCATCAGCTCTTCATTCTAGGATTGGTACAGTTCCAAGGTGCCCACAAAAAAAACTTCATTTGTTTTTTGGTAACCACTTCTTCTATAGTGATTATGTAAAAATGGTACTGAGAGTTCCTTGGTTTATGTCTAACTATAGTGTAGAGGTGCTCAGTTCTAGATGTAATTCTCCCACCCACCCCACTTGCTGCTAGTCCTGCAACTTCAGTCAGTGACCTGAAAGTCAAGCTGTGTCTTTTGTAGCTCATGCAGTGTCACCAATAACTCTGACCCACCTATAGCATTACTGTTTCTGGAGCTGGAACTGTTAACAATTGTTTAATGCAAGATTGGGATCCCTCATGCTGCAGCTCTGTTGCAGGGCTAATGTTTTAAAGCAGTGACGGGTAACCTGCGGCTCAACAGCCTCATGCGGCCCATTGAGGTTCTATGCGTGACCCTCAAGACATTTTGTTTACTGCTGCCAATGCAGAGGGTGGCCAGATTCTGCTGGTTTTTGTCCACGTAGGGTTTTTCCACTACAGGTATGATACAAGTGACATGCACTTAAAGCAAGGCACTTGAATTGAGGTGTATGCTGATAGCACATAACATGTGAGAGCTGTGTGCTCCCTCTGCATCCAATCAAAGTACTTCTACGGGTCATTTAACACACTGCAAATTGTAGGGATGCAAGCAGAGTTAACAAAATCATTCTATCCTGGGAGACTGTCTTGGTTACCATAGTATTATGGCCCACTGAGATGGAGGGCCACTTGTAAGGCCCACTAACTAGCCTACTTTGCCGTGAGTATTTCTAGTATAAACATATCACTTAGTCAACAGGACTGTGCGAGGTGCATGGAGTATAAAGTGTATGTGTGATTGGTAATGTTTCAATCAAATCAGGTGTCGGTAACAAGGAGAGGTGAGTTGTGCAGGAAAGCAGACTAGAGGTCAGGGTTTCTGGTGGCAAACAGGCAGTGTGAATCATGACTTGCTCAATATAAAAATCTCTGTTGCCAGAAATGGTTTCTTTTTTTGCATGCTATACACCTTGTCACCTCTTAGTGATAGCCTGTATGCAGGTATTATCCATTTAAAAACTCTCCCTCTATGCCACTGACTGCCTAGCTGTTCCTTTTCCACTCTTTTAAACAAATAAAATTATATCAGTTCTATGTTCTGTCAGCAGTTGGTTTCCAAAAACATGTACAGGCAGTCCTCGGGTTACGTACAAGATAGGGACTGTAGGTTTGTTCTTAAGTTGAATCTGTATGTAAGTCGGAACTGGCGTCAGCCGCTGCTGAAACTGACCAGCGGCTGACTACAGGAAGCCCGAGGCAGAGTTGCTCTGCCCCAGGCTTCCTGGAATCAGCCCCCGATCAGTTTCAGCAGCAGCTGACTTGGGGATGCCTGGGTTTCTTAAGTTGAATCTGTATGTAAGTCGGAACTGGCGTCAGCCGCTGCTGAAACTGACCAGCGGCTGACTACAGGAAGCCCGAGGCAGAGTTGCTCTGCCCCAGGCTTCCTGGAATCAGCCCCCGATCAGTTTCAGCAGCAGCTGACTTGGGGATGCCTGGGTTTCTTAAGTTGAATCTGTATGTAAGTCGGAACTGGCGTCAGCCGCTGCTGAAACTGACCAGCAGTGGCTGAATCAGGATGCCTGGGGCAGAGCAGCTGGGGGGCTGCCGCTCCGGACCAACCCGGCAGCCCCCAGCTGCTCTACCCCAGGGGTAGGCAAGAAAAGCCTGGTCTGCTGGGAGGGGGGGGCCAAAACAGGCCTTGAATAGCGGGTGTGCTATCTTGAAATAGCGGGCACATTCAAAAGACGTGGTGTAACTGTTTCGGGATACTTCAAGTATCCTGAAATAGTCCCACTGTGTAGACATACCCAGAGTGGGGGACAGGGACCTATCACTTCACCTCTAGTAATGTTCCCTGTAAGCTGAGCATTTGGGTGGCCACCCAGCAGAGATTCAGGTGCTTCCCAATTGATTAGCACCACATCCACAACTGATATCATGTGTTTCTGTTGGTGTGCACATCTGGACTTGGTTTGGTGTACATAACAAAATGTATTCTGCACATTGATAGAAAAAATAGAGGGAACATTGCTCTCTACTGTGCAGCGCCTATGCAGGTTGGGCTTTAGACGCAGGGTGCATCTGTGGTGCTCTGGGGCTCAAGCACTCATGGGAGTAAAACAGTGGGGCTATGTCTACACTGGCAAGATTTTGCACAAATACTTTTAACAGAAGAGTTTTTCCCGTTAAAAGTATTTGCGCAAGAGAGCGTCTACACTGGCATGTGCTTTTGCACAAGAGATGTGCTTTTGCGCAAAAGCATCCGTGCCAGTGTAGACGCTGTCTTACGCAAGAAAACTCTCATGGCCATTTTAGCCATCGGGCTTTCTTGCACAAGAAATTAACGTTGCCTGTCTACACTGGCCTCTTGTGCAAGAATACTTGTGCAAGCGGGTTTATCCCTGAGCGGGAGCATCAGAGTATTTGCGCAAACAGCACTGATTTTGTACATTACAGCGTCAGTGTTCTTGCGCAAATACTCACGGCCAGTGTAGACAGGCGGCAAGATTTTGCGCAAAAGCAACTGCTTTTGCACAAAATCTTGCCAATGAAGACACAGCCTGGGTGCTCAAAAACCCACTGTCAGCACTGTGGTTAAGATTCTTCCCTTTCCAGTGCCTCTTGGCCACCACAATCAGCTGTTCAGCAGCATGCAGGAGCAGAAACAGCAGGGATAAGAAGCAGCAGGGGGAGGAAGTGGAAAGAGGTGGAGTGGGGGTAGAGCCACAAGTCCAGTATCCCTTGGGACCTCTGAGTTGGGCAGTATGCTCCACCAGTTTCTACTAAAAATTAATGTTTGCTACTGACTAGCATCTTAGCTCTTTCCCAACCATTCCTGTTTCCCAGGCTTCTCTGTTCCATTGGTTATATTTGTTGCAATTTATCTTGTTCCAGGTTTATTCCTCACACAGAAATAAGTTCAAAAGCCTACATTGAGCTGCTACTTTTTGTACTCCAGATAAAGCCTTTAGGGATCCTACTCACCAAGGGAGTGGTGTTCCAGCCAATTTCCTGGCTCTCTGTCTGTGGTTCTGTGTATTTCTTGGTTGGCTCCAGTGCAGCATAGTGAATAAGATTCAGAAACTTGGCTGTTGGATTAAGGGAAAAAAAGGGTATATGGGGAGAGGGGAGTATTTTAAACCAGAGTGTAGAAACTAGATCAAATAATTAAGTGTTTGTGTTGGACATAAGGGAAGATTTGGACATTACCCTGAGGAGCTTATACTCTAAGGTGTGTGTAGATTGACTGCTTTTGCGCAAAAACTTGCCAGCTGTCTACACTGGCCACTTGAATTTGCGCAAGAGCACTAACTTTGTAATATACAAAATCAGTGCTTCTTGCGCAAATACGTTCACGCTCCCGCTTAGTAAAAAGCCCTCTTGCGCAAGAATACTTGCTCAAGAGGGCCAGTGTAGACAGGAAAGAATTGTTTTGCGCAAAGAATCCCTGATGGCTAAAATGGCGATCGGGGCTTTCTTGCGTAAAATCGCATCTAGACTGGCCATGGATGCTTTTGTGCAAAAGCATCCATGCCAATCTAGACATGCTTTTGCGGAAATACTTTTAACGGAAAAACTTTTCCATTAAAAGTATTTCCGCAAAATCATGCCAGTCTAGACGCAGCCTAAAAGAGAGAGACAAGAGGCCAACAGTGAAATAAGTCTGTTTCTGTACTTCAGTGACTGGTCCTGTGCAAGGCTGTGGTATAGCCACTGTTCGTCTATTCTGTCATCCTTGTCTCCTACACAACAGCCCCTCATACTCACACTGTTTGCTGTCAGCCACCTCTCCCTATCCTGCCAATTGACATTCATATGTTATTTTCTTGTAACCTGGTACCTTACTATTCCAGTTCTTACTTCCTGATCTGTGACTTCAGGAAACCAGTTCATACTTACGTTAACTTGTGTCTGTGTGAAATTTTATAAGCCAGGTCAGTGCCTTGTCCCACAGGCTGCTCTCTCACTGTGCAAAGCCATGTGCATACACAGTTATAAAATAATAAAAATGTAGGTTTGGAAAGGACTGTAACAGGTCATTAAGTCTGGTCCCCCTGAGATGGCAATAATGACTGAATAGTTAAAGGTGAGTTTTGCATTTAAGAAGGGCTTAATTCTTCTAATAAAAGTGACCAATTTTGGAAACTCATGGATGACAGGAGACATCCTGGGAAACTGATAGAGATTAACATACTATTTATCTTTAAAAGGGGAAAAAGGAGGAGCCAGGGAACTATAAATGGGTCAGCCTGATTTTTGATACCTGGTAAGCTATTACAGCAACATATAAAACATTCTTTTTTTGAATATGCAGAGGACGAAGGGGTAATTATTACTAGCATACAGCGTGGCTTTGAATAAATAATAGCAAACAAACCTGAGTTCCTTCTTTATCCAGTAAACCAGTTAAGCTGTCAGAGGGAATGTGACGGACTAGACTCAAGCAAGGCTTTGGACATAGTCCCACATGCCATTCTGATAAATAAGATGGAGATGTGCGGGCTGGGCGTGGCAGAACTGCTATCAAGTGACCATAATTGACTAAGCAACCACAGATTATTCATGGAATTAATGTTAGATTGAAAGATGATCTCTAGTAGAGTTCCACGGGCATCTGTTCTGGGTTCAGTGTTATTTAACATCTTTATTAATGACATGGATGTAGGAATAGAGAGTACTGCTAAAATGGATATGCGCCAACACTACTCCGGTCTCCTGTGTGTGTAGTCAGTGTGACAGACCCTGACCAGCTGGCTGCTGCCTTCTAATGGAGGGCAGGTATGTAGGGCTCTGGGTAAATAGTTTTCTCTTCACTGAGTAAACAGAGTCAAACTTTGTGCAGTATAATCAGGCAGGCACCTGGGGCCAACTAAGAGCATGCCAGAAGCAGCAGGCTAATAACCAGAGGCCCACTAAGGCTTTTTATAAGGCAGGGGTAGGCAAGAGACAGCTAGCAGCTAGATGCGGCCTGTGGTCGTCTTGCCAGCACCCTAACTACACAGCAGCTTATACTGTTTTAAACAGGTGGTTACTAATTGCTCTGCAAGCTGGGGAGGGATGGGAGAATGTGTGTGCTGTTCCTGCCCCCAGCAAAATCCCTCAGCTTCCATTGGCATGTTTCTGGACAATAGGGGTGTGTATAGACTACAGGCTTTTATCGACAGAAGTTTTGTCGACAGATACTGTCAACAAAGCTTCTGTCGACAAAGAGCATCTAGACTACAGCCAGTTCTGTCGACAAAGCAAGCCACTTTGTCGACATGACAGTGAAGATGCAATAACGCCTTCTGTCAACAGAACTCTGTCGACAAAAGGCGTTATTCCTCGTAGAATGAGGTTTACAGCCGTCGACAAAATTGCTGAGTTCTGTCGCCGTTATGTTGACAGAACTCAGTGGCAGTGTAGACGCAGGTATAATTTTGTCGACAAAAGTCCATTTTTGTCGACAAAACCCTGTAGTCTAGACACATCCTAGGAGCTGAAAAACTGCTGGAGGAAGAGGTAAAGTGAAGCTTCCTTCCCTCCCTCCCAGTGCTGGAGCAGAGCTACGTGGAGTAACCTGCCCAGCAGACAGGCATGGTACCTGTCTCTGGTTCCTGCTGGGCTGCTAGCTGGGAGCCACTTAGGTAAGAGCGACGAGGAGTCCTGTGGCACCTTATAGACTAACTGAAATTCAGTTAGTCTATAAGGTGCCACAGGACTCCTCGTCGCTCTTACCTAAGTGGCTCCCAGCTAGCAGCCCAGCAGGAACCAGAGACAGGTACCATGCCTGTCTGCTGGGCAGGTTACTCCACGTAGCTCTGCTCCAGCACTGGGAGGGAGGGAAGGAAGCTTCACTTTAAAGAGACTCCCAACCACAGTCTGCCTCTAGCAACCCACCCTCTCTCTCCCCAACTACCTGCCCCAGGACATCAACCAAACCCTCTATTTCTTCTCCCTGCCTTGTCCAGGTCACAACTCCCTCCCAGCCCCTGCAACCGCTCCTACCCTCTTCCCCCAGGCCAGAATCCTCACCTGCACCCTTCCCTCCCCCCCACCCAGACTCTGCATCCCCAAGCCTCTGCTCCAGATCATAACCCCCTCCTTCAACCAAACTCCCTCTCAGACCCTACACTTCCTCCTGCACCCCAGTCCTCTATCCCAAACTCTCTTCTGCACCCACTGTTCCAGTTCCCCACTGTTCCAGACCCCATACCCCCTCCATAGAAGTGTGGCCCTTGACTGATTACCAAAATCTTGGAGTGGGCCCCCACTAAAACTATTGCCCACCCCTGTTATAAAGGCTTCCTGAAGAGGGCAGTGGGTGTGGAAGAGTTGGGAGTGAGGTGAAGCTGTGAGACCTTTGGACTGTGAGAACGGCACAGAATGCCTTGGAGGAGCAGGATGGGTTGTTCAGGTGCCAGAGGAAAGATGGCGAGAGGGATCTTTTGGGGAAGTGGCCCAGAGAAGAAGTTGCCAGACTGGGAGTAAAAGAAAACCTTGTCTGTTGCCGCTACCTTAGCGGCCAGTCTTGAACCCAGAATAGTGGGCAGACCTGCGTCAGGGGCCTGTATCAGACATTACAGCAGCTCATTCAGCCCTCTGACTACAATTCCATGCTACTCATACATGTGGGCACTAATGATATTGCAAGGTGTGATCTTGAGCAGATCAAACGTGACTACAGGACACTGGGAATACAGGTGAGGGAGTTTTGGGAGCAAGTAGTGTTTTCTTTGATCCTCCCAATCAAATAAGGTTTGATGGGGCCAGGGGAAAGACATGGAGACCTGGGAGACAAGTCAGAAATTGGGAGGAATATGGACTATAACAGTAGGGATAAAGGAGACAAGGCAGAAATGGAGGGGGAGGGGGGGCAAAATCAAACCAGTATATTAGCTGTCTTAATACAAATGTAAGAAGTATGGGGAATAAGCAGGAAGTACTTGAAATGCTAGTAAATAAATACAACTGACATAGTTGGTACCATGGAGACTTGATGGGATAATACACATGATTGGAATATTTGGTACAGAAAGGTATAGCTTGCTCAGGAAGGATACACAGGAGAAAAAAGGGAGAAGGTATTGCCTTATATATTAAAAATGTACATACTTGGAAAGAGGTTCAGATGGACATAGGAGACAGACTTGTTGAGAGTCTCTGGGTAAGGTAAAAAGTGGGTGAAGTCATGGTGTGGTCTTACAGACTACCTAACCAAAGAAAAGAGACAGCTAAGAAAATCATCCAAAGCACATACTTGGTGGTGATGGGGGACTTCAACTACCCAGCCATTTACTTGAAAAATAATCTTTGCCCTGTTGTGTTATCAAACAAGACCTTGGGATACACTGGAGACATTTTATTTCAGAATGGAAGAAAGCTACTGGAGGGAGGCTTTTCTAGATTTGATTTTAAATAGGGAGGAACTGGTTGAGAATTTGAAAGTGGAAGGCAACTTGAGTGAAAGTGATCATGAAATGACAGAGTTCATAATTCTAAGGAATGCTAGAAGAGAACAGCAAAATAAAGAAAATGGATTTCAAGAAGACAGACTTTAGTAAACTCAGGGAGCAGGCAGGTTAGGTCCCAGGAGAAGCAAGGATGAGGAAAAACAGTTGGCAGTTGTTCAAAGTGACATTATTAAGGGCGCAAGAGTATGCTATTCCATTACATAGAAAAGATAGGCGGTATGGAAAAAGACCACCCTGGCTGATGCTCTAACAATCAAAAAGGAGTCCTATAAAAAGTGGAAATTAGGTCCAAGTTCAAAGGTAAAATATAAGCAAATAATACAAGTATGCAGGGGCAAGATTAGAAAGGAAAGGGCACAAAATGAGATCAAACTAGCTAGGCATATAAAGGGTAACAAGAAAACATTCTACAAATGTATTAGAAGCAAGAGGAAGACCAAGGACAGGGGTGGCTTAATGAAGAGGGAGCCACTTTTCCTGGGTCCCGTTGGCTGCAAATGGTGAACCAGAGCCAACAGGAGCTGTGAGGCTCAGTGGCCACAGCGCTGGTAAGGAAACCCACCGGAGCGGCTAGTTAGCAGGTTTCTCAAAGTGGTTTCACAAACCACTTTGCGAAACACTGCATTAAGTTATTACACAGCACTGCAAGTAAACTGCACCTTGCTGGTCTCATGTCCTCTGTGCCACGTACATCTATCACATGCAGTAGGTTACCAAAGGGTTGAACATGAATCTGGTCATCCGGGCCCATCCTTCTAATTGCCATCTGGCCACCCACACCTGAACCCTTTGGCCCCACTTCAGTCCATCTTCCCCCAGCCATGCCCTAGGCTGGGGTGGGCAATAATTTTTAATGTGGGTCCACTCCAAGGCTATGTCTACACTGGCAGCTTCTTGCACCAGAAATATGCAAATGAGGCTAAGCGTGGAATAGCGCTGAGCCTCATTTGCATACCTAATGAGCCACCATTTTTGCAGAAGAGGCTCTTGCGCCTGAAGGAACGTCTACACTGCCCCTTCTTGCGCAAGAAAAACCCTCTTGCGCAATGCCACTATGCTGATTATTTTCAGGAATAACGGCAATTCCTTCTGGCGCAAAGTCCACACTTCTGTGGAGGGGGTGTAGGGTCAGGGATGGAAGTTGGGTGCAGAAAGGAACTTGGGACATAGGACTGGGTGGTAGGAGGGGATGTGGAGTCTGAGGGAAATTGGATAAAGTGTGGTGGGGGGGGGAGAGGTTACGATCTGGTCCAGGGTCCAGGAGGGGTAAGAGTGCAGGGACAGGATTCTGGTCTGGGGGAGGAGGGTTGGAGGGAGTGCAGAGTCTGGACAGGAGTTGTGACCTGAAGGAGAGGGGGAGAGGGGATACAGAGGGCTTGAGTGGTAACCTACGGTTGGGGGCGCTGGTGATGTGGGGCAAGAAGTTGGGGAGGAAGGTGTGTGTGTGCGTGTGCGTGTGTGCACCAGAGGCAGGCTCTAGCTGGGAGATTCTTACCTAGTTGGCTGCCAGCCAGCAGCCCAGCAGGAACGTGAGGCAGGCTTCATGCCTGTCTGCTGTGCTGGCTACTCCACGTGGCTCTGCTCCAGCAGTGGGAGAAAAGAGGCTTCGGTCTGCCCCTGCCTCCAGCAAAATTTCTCAGAAATTAGCCAGTGGGACCTGAGGGATTTTGCTGGGGGCAGGGACAACGTGCAAATTCTCCCAACCCTCCCCAACTTTCAGAGCAATTAGCAGCCTGTTTAAAACAACATGAGCTACTGTGTAGTGAGGGTGCTGGCAAGGTGGCCACAGTCCAGATCCAGTGGATTGGTTGGCCAAATCTGGACCATAAGCCACCTTTTGCCCACCCTGCCCTATGCCCACCCAGTCTGTCACCCTCTATACAGAGGGCTCCCTACATGTATTCTGGCCACACCCATACTGGGATGATGTTACCTTAACTATTTATTTCCTGTATTTCAGATACAGGCAGTCCCCGGGTTACGTACAAGATAGGGACTGTAGGTTTGTTCTTAAGTTGAATCTGTATGTAAGTCGGAACTGGCGTCCAGATTCAGACACTGCTGAAACTGACCGCCAGTTCTGACTTACATACAGAATCAACTTAAGAACCCCAGGCGTCCCCAAGTCAGCTGCTGCTGAAACTGATCAGCAGCTGATTCCAGGAAGCCCGGGGCAGAGCAACTCTGCTGGCACCGGAGCAGCGAGAAAGCCCCGTTCGTAAGTGCGGATCCGACGTAAGTCGGATCCGCGTAAGTCGGGGACTGCCTGTATATGCAATAACATGTCACTTACTTTTGAGATATTTTCTGCAATCTGGTAGCTAAATATTTATTTAGTTTTAATTTATTTATTCTTCTTTGAAAACCATGTTCTTTCGAAATCAGTTCACCTTATCGATAATTTTAAGTTCTGCTAGTGATTAAATTTGTATCTAGTTAAAGGGATGGGGACCTATGGCCCAGCATGCGGCATGTCTTGATCCGGCCCACGAGGCTTGGGCTCTCTCTTCCCACAACAGAGCAAGCCAGAGCTGGCTTGTCCTGCTATGGAGTCCGGAATCCCAAGCGTAACAGGCTGGATCAATGCAAGTTACAGGCTGCATCGGGCCCACGGGCTCTGCCTAGCAGGGGAGAGGAAGTGGTTCTTCATTCTGATGTCATCCCCTACTCCCTCTGGCTGGGGAAATGGCAGCTCAGAGAAGCTCTGGTCATGTGCTCACATGCGGTTCTACCACAGGGGAATGGTCAGAGGCCATCTGGGGGACCACCAGCCATGCAACTCCTCCCCCAACACAGGGAAGGGTCAGGACCATTCCTCTTCACCTCTGCTCTACTCTTCCCTCTCTTGCGCTGTCCTCTCCCTGCCTCTCCTCTTCCCCCCAACCAAAGCAGCGCCGTGGACCAGCAGGGCTGGTGTCAGCAGTAAAGGTCCAGTCCCCCGCCCTCCTCTGCACTCGTCAGCAGAAGCAGGGGAAGTGGAACAAGGTAGCCCCAGCTGCTTTTCTCTCCCAACTATGTCTGAGTCCCCCATCCTCTCCCTCCACATGAGCCTGGCGCTCAGGGGCCCTTCACTCAGCAGGTGTCTGAGCTTCATTTTGCCCATAGTGTGAGCCAGGAAGGTGTAATGCAGATTTAAATACAGGCAGTCCCCGACTTACGCGGATCCGACTTACGTCGGATCCGCACTTACGAACGGAGCTTTCTCGCCCCGGAAGTCGGGGCGAGAAAGCCCCGTTCGTAAACTGCTCCGGTGCCCCTGGTCTGCTGGAGACCGTCTCCAGCAGACCAGGGGCACCGGAGCAGTTTACGAACGGGGCTTTCTCGCCCCGACTTCCGGGGCGAGAAAGCTCCGTTCGTAAGTGCGGATCCGACGTAAGTCGGATCCGCGTAAGTCGGGGACTGCCTGTATTTAAATCTGCATTACACCTTCCTGGCTCACACTATGGGCAAAATGAAGCTCAGACACCTGCTGAGTGAAGGGCCCCTGAGCGCCAGGCTCATGTGGAGGGAGAGGATGGGGGACTCAGACACAGGGAAAGGAGCTCAGATCTTTCTCAGATCTAGACCCATGGAGGGGGGGAGTTCAGAGCTAAGATGACATTCTCTAGCTCTTCAGCTTCCTTTGCTACCTCTCATTGTCCAGTGCTTCCTGTGCTCTTCTTTCTCCCATTCTTTCCCCAAGTTTGCCAATACCTTTTCTCTCTCCTACCACCTATCTTCATTATAGCTCCATCGCTCAACACAGACCCAAACCTCTCACCATCTATTCTGGACTAGTTTTCCCACACCTAATCACCCTCTTCTCTCAGCAAGAATTTATGTGTATAATTTATTTTCTTTTCAGGAATAGTTTAGGGTTAGTGCTAAACAGGTTGAACCTCTCTCATGTGGCATGCAGGGGACTGGCCATTTCTGAACCAAAGAATTTGTTGAACCACAGGAGGTTAATATTGTAGTGAGTGGGTCTCTATTTTTATTTCACCGAGGCGAATAAATGGAACAGCACTTGCAATGCTATTTAATAATGTATGACTGTACTGATACACCCTTATAAGCCTGTGCCTAGCTAAGGGTTATCAGCTCTCTTCATAACAAAGTGTTAGTGTTCTTACACAATTTTATTGTATTGGCACAAGTAGATAAAACATAAAAAATGCGTTTATGCTTAGCAGAATTACCAGTACTTCCACTGCTTGCTTGTCTCTTAGAAGACATCTAGAGGAAATTTAAAGCAGTGTTTTTCAAACTATAGGTCACAACCCAGCATTTGGTCATGGAATTTCAGGCACTGAGTCTCGTTGCTCAGAGTGATCAGGTGACCTATGGGGGTGCTAAGCCTGGCTACCTGCCTGTCCTAGCACTGCAGACTGTGCTGCACCCCAGAAATGGCTGGCATCAGGCCCGGCTCCTAGGTGTGTGAGCAGGGAGCACACAGCCCCTTTAGCCACATGGATCCTGTGAGTTGTGGTTGGTTATGAAGCCTCTTGTGCCCTTTTTCCATATGCAGTGTCATCCATTTGGTGTATGAGCTCTGGGAATATTAAACCTGAATTTAAACTGAGATCCTTACCCTATTTAATAGTCTGAATCCCTCTCTCCGAAGAGGTGAGGGTGGGAGATATGCATTCTCTGCAGCAGTGTTTCTCAAAGTGGATCACAAGCCTGCTTTGGGAAAGCTGCTACACATCCATGCCACTTTGTTTATCTAAAGCAGGGGTGGGGAACCTAAGGCCTGGGTGCTGGATGCTGCCCCTGGCTTGCTTGGATCTGGCTTGGGGGCTCAGGGCTCCTTCCAGCATTGGGGAGCCTGTGCTGGCACTCCATTCCTCCTGCAATCCCCATGTGAGGCTGCAGCACACAAAATCTAGTAGCCTGAACCCCCCTAGGCTCTGGCGTGCCAGGGTAATGTGGGAAGTGTCTTTCTCCTTCTCAGTCAGGGGCCATGTCAGTGAGGGTTTTTTCTTTTTGCTCCTCACTTGTGGGTGGCCCCCAACTGATTTTTTCTGTGGGTCAGTGGGCCCCGACCCAAAAAAAGGTTCCCTACCACTGACCTAAAGGGTTCGTAGCCATGGCGCCTTGTGGCTCCCATTTTGGTTCCAGTTACTCCAAAAGATCTTCTATAGAAATTATTTTGGGGAAGTTCTATGGCCTTCATTATACAGGAATTCAGACTAAATAACACCACAGTGGTCCCTTCGGGCCTTGCAATCTATGAATAATAATTAGTTCATTAAAAAAAGTTGAACATTATCATTTGCATGGTTAAACAATCAAGTCAGGATATAGCAGTTAGTTGCATATAAACATCTTAACCTCTGTACCCTTATGCATATGCTTTGACAGACTAATCACATTCTATTTTTAATATAGTTCACCCAAATAATACCTTTGACTGTTGTAGCATTAAGTTATACAGTAACAACATACTCACCAAATTCCTTTGACTGGCATTTAAAAGTGAAACCTGGATACTAACTTTGCAACATTTCCACCTATGTGCAATTGTTAGCTGTGTTGTATGTACGTCTGGAAAGCTTTAAGTTAGCAAGTATGCCAAAAGCCACATCTGTCCTGGCCAAATATGGCTCTGCTGAAGCCTGCCTCAATTTCACCTTAATTGGGTCTCCCGTTAAAAAAGTCAACACAGACTAGCATTTCAAAACAATTCCTGTTCTTGGATCCAATTTATTGTATCTAGCAAAGAGTCTTTTAAAAGAAAACTTAATCCTTCAGTCTTCGTCCTGTTTCAACTGGGCCCAGTCCCTCTTCCTCTCTTTAACAATTAATTTCTTTTATCCCAGTCCCAAGCTAGGCATAGTCTCTCTTCTCTGTCTTCCTGCTTTTCAAGCAACTCTTGCCTAAAAACTGGCCTTCTCCAAAGGCCTTCCCAGCTAGTGCTTTCCCTCTGCTGACTCAAGGCTCTGTGGTGCTTCCTTGGTTTCTTAAGTTTACACTTCTCAATGGCAGAGCTATATGGAAAAAAATAAAGGGCGTTGTAACACTTAATCTCATGATTGCTGAGCCCATAAAGGCAGAGAAGTGCATCAGAAAGTTCACCAAGACATCATTAGTTTCTTAGAAAACTGACGCTCTAAATGTGGGGACAAAATATACAAAGGTCCACACATTAGGAACCGTTATACTACTTTGATAATTCCTTTGTTCTTGGGCCTGGCTCATACTTTTCCCAATCCTGTCTCCTCAAGTATTAACAGGTTGTCCAACATTATCCTGTCCAGTCAATCCAGCTGGAAAATAAGATATAGGTAACACTGTCTTATTAATAGTTCATGTGCAGCTGCCACTTTGCATATCCAGTGTTTCTAATCTTTTTCAGGAGTGTTTTTTAAACTGTTAAAGAAAGTTCAGTTTATTTTACAATATGCAAAGAGATTATAAATCAGTTCTCTGATAATTACTTCCTTATCTAACTATTTCAACAGCTGTTCAGAGATTCCTTACCATCCGCAGGCTCTTCTATATTATCATGCCAAGACATTGGTTTCCTGGTGATCGTGTGAACTGGGGAGAAATGTGATGATGCATGTGAGTTGCTATTGTGGTATTAATATTACCAGCAGTTTCAGACAAAACACAAGTTTTATGATAAAGGGTCCATCGAGCTCCCCCTAGCCAGTGTTCTGCCAGCTCACTTAAGCTGTGGGGGTATGTCTACACTACCCCGCTAATTCGAACTAGCGGGGTAATGTAGGCATACCGCACTTGCAAATGAAGCCCGGGATTTGAATTTCCCGGGCTCCATTTGCATAAGCCGGGCGCCGCCATTTTTAAATCCCGGCTGGTTCGAACCCCGTGCCGCGCGGCTACACGCGGCACGAACTACGCTTCCTAGTTTGAACTACCGTTACTCCTCGTGGAATGAGGAGTAACGGTAATTTGAACTAGGAAGCCTAGTTCGAACTACCTAGTTCGTGCAGCGTGTAGCCGCGCTGCACGGGGTTCGAACGAGCGGGGTTTTAAAAATGGTGGCGCCCCGCTTATGCAAATGAAGCCCCGGCTTATGCAAATGGAGCCCGGGAAATTCAAATCCCGGGCTTCATTTGCAAGTGCGGTATGCCTACGTTACCCCGCTAGTTCGAATTAGCGGGGTAGTGTAGACATACCCTTAGGGAGAAGAGACTAGGTTGGGAGAGGATGCAGGCAGTCTCCCAATTTCTCCTGGGAACGGAAGGGAATTAGCTTTGAGACCATGGGACCCTGGTATTATGTGCTGTTTGTGACCAGAGAGCAGACTTCACTGATTGATCTGCTTGATTCCTAAACTGTGACCTGTGGGGTAGTTGGTGGATGAACATAGAGAGCTGGCTGACTACATGAGGCTAGTTCAGGGATAGGTGATATTTTTTGAAGGGGGGGGGCCTACTCCAAGATTTTGGTAAGTAGTCAAGGGCTGCACTTTTCTGTGGCGGAGGTGGAGGGTCTGGGACAGAGGTTTGGTGCAGAAGGGAGCTCAGGGTAGAGGACTGGGGTGCAGGAGAGGGTGTGGGGGTCTGAGAGGAAGTTTGGGTGAAGGAGGGAGTTGTGACATGGGGCAGGGGATTCAGGTGTAGAGTCTGGAAGGGGGTATGGGTGCAGGAGAGAATTCTGGCCTGAAGGAGTTGGATATAGGAGGCGGTAGGGTGCCAGAGGCAGGCTTTGGCTGGGAGATGCTTTCCTAATCAGCTCCTAGCCAGCAGCACTCTCAGGTAAACTTCCCAGCAGCCCTCAGCTGGCGGTTTCATGTGGCTATTGAGGGGGAAATCTCGCTCCCCTGGGGTACAGAGCCCCCAGAAGGGTTCGAGGCCGGAGGTCAAATCAGTGAGGCAGGAAAGAAACTTAGAAGAGAAAACTTTATGATGCATGCATGCAGGCTGTCACTTCCAAGAGTGAAGCAGCAGCCCTGACAGACAGATTCAGGTATCCTTTATACAGAATGCTTAGACAGCTCAGTTGTGGATTGTTCTTCTTTAACATATCAAAGTCTCAGCAGAAGTACTTTGAGACTTCTGTTCACCCCAGGAGTGCTAGAAGTAAGTTTTTACAGTACACAAAGCCACATGAGAACTTGAGTGGAGGAGTCTACAAGGCAAACTGTGACAAAGATAAGGGTTTACATGACAAATTGTGACAGACTAGGAGTATCCATGAATTTGAGATAGTCATTTGTAAGGGTCTTTGATTAGAGCTAATTTGATTTCTCTCTGTTACAGGGAGAGAGGCCTGGAAAACTTTTTAACCCTTACAGCAGTTTTCTTTAGAGAGTTTTGATTTCCTGCACAGTCCCCCCTTTAGACACAATTGGAGTTATTTGATTTTCCCCACACTTCCCCCCTTTAATACTCCTATTGGAGTATTACTCAAAGTTATTCTAGACATTCTTAGGTATTCTTCTTTTGCTGGGATGAATTCTTATCTTAGAGGGAGGTTTTCTTTATCAGTTGGGTAAATGATCCACTGCCCATTCACCCCCAGATCTTTACCAGTGCCAATATTGCTTTTAAAACATAAGGGAAACATAAGGGAAGCATTCCCTGATGGATGTAATGCTTGAGTAAGGGGAATCCCTGAGGCAATCAGATTTTTATGCCAAATCTGCCTGTTCCCCCCCATGACTATGTACTTCTGGCACAGTGTTATCATTCTGGGCATCTACCCACTCCCGCTCTCCTGTAGAGTACTGACTACCAGTAGATCTGAATTTTAGGGGTCTGGTCCACAGGGAGGCAGGAGTTGGGATAAACTGTAATGGTAAAAGGCCTTCAGAGCCTATTATAAGCTGTTCACATATCCAACAGTCACTTGTATCACTTGTATTGGTGAGGGACACAACCTTTTGCAGGGCTTCCCAATAAGGGTGGGGAAAGTTATATACTAAGGCTATTCTGACTACTAAAAGAAGGAAAACAATCCCCATCTTATTATAGTATCTTAAGTCTCTAAAGTAGAAAGGATAATAATAATATAGTAATTATCTAGCAACTAGCAAAGCAGTCTTTTAACTAAACTTAATCAGTTAGTATTGTTTGGCTTGCCTCTGCAGGCACTCTTCGAGATTTCGTAGTCTCTTAGTTCACTCAATACTGGAATGGATTTTCCTTTGTGAGAGCTACAGGGCGCCAGGCTCACCTGTAGGTCTTTGCTGGTACAGTCCTACCTCTCAGGTTGTACCTCGAAGCACCTGGTGGAGGCCGGTTTGGTAACAGTCTGGTTTGAAAGTTTGCCGCCTCGGTCCGCTGAACCTCGTCCTCAGGTGATTCCTCCAGGGAGGGGTCCTGGGTGACGGGGTCAATCAGCTCTGTTGGATCTGCAGTTCGGCATACATGACTTGCGTGGATCCACGAGGGGCGCTCCTTCACCTTTACTGCTGTGTGGGTGATGAGCAGCAATTGGAACGGTCCTTTCCACCGGGCTGTCAGGGAATTCTTTCTGCGATGTTCCTTCACGAACACGTAGTCGCCTGGTTGGATGTTGTGGCACGGCACATCAGTAGGTGCTGGGAGGGCTTCCTTTACCTGCAGGTGCAAGCTCTCCTAACCGTCATTTTATGTCTAGGTTTCTTCTTTCTGTGTGGCTGCTAGCCTGTGGGCCTCCTGCAACATTAAACTGCTTACAAATCACACATGAATTAGATATGAATTAGATATTCTTGAGACAGCTTCTAGGTGCATGCCTGGGGCGTACCATTGTTTTGGGATTTGTGAGGCCACCCCCCTTTTGCTCATGTGTGTCATTTGATGAGACACCTGAGCAAGCTGCCGTGTGAGAGATTTTT